CTCCATTTGTTAATGACAGTGGTAATGGTTCTTAATGCCACTGTTGACTGCTGTTCACTTTACATGGTTCAAATGTTATTATAGTTTATTAAATATTTTATTACACTATTTGGTTCAGAATATGTTTTCCCTGTTTTCCTCCTCTAAAAATTATGTGCGTCTTAAGGTCCGGTGCATCTTATGGAGCAAAAAATACGGTAACTCTGCCATCTCAGGCAGGATGTCTATCAGGTAATAGCATGAGTAGCCCTCGGAAGTGCAGACTCAACTTCAATGGTGTCTCACTAGAAACTTGATATGTGGATTAATTACATTCCTCTGCAGTACTGAGGATACATTTCTAGGTTATCCAGCATTCTCATACAGAAATTCACCTGATTATCTCTTGCTTCTTCATATTAAATACAATTGTATGCTGGGCCACTCATAAGGCTCACCTGGAAACCTGGAGGGAAGGCCTATTTAAGGGGTGGCTCTCCCTCACAGACCTTGCCTCAGCAACAAACATCTTTGGCCATGTTGCTCTGGAGTCCCTGTTCCCACCTTGACCCCTGCTTTTCTTCTGGAATTGTTGCATCTGGACTCCAGTGTTCCTATTCCTGCCTTGACCCCTGCTCTTGCCTCCAGCATCTCTGTGTCTAGACTCCGGTGTTCCTGTCCCTGCTTGCTTCTGCTTGTCTTCTGCATCATGGTGCCTTGTTCCGCCTCCGTGATCCCGGTCCTCCGTGATCCCAGCAAGAGCACCTGGCTCCCAGCCTAGTGCTCTTGCCTCAGCTTGGTCACAGCCAAGGTCTTTGGCTGTGTTGTGGTGTGCTGACTGCCTTGCTGCTTCTGAACTTCTGAGTCCCTGCATTCCAGTATTCCTGCATCTGCTCCTGTTCCTGCCTTGGCCCCTTGCTCTTGCCTCCTACATCTCTGTGTTTGGACTCCAGTGTTCCTGCATTAGCTCCTGTTCCTGCCTCCACCCCTGTTTTTGCCTCTGCTTGCCTCCTGCATCTTGGTGCCTTGTTCCAGCTCTGTTCCCCAAGCCCTGTGCTCCCGCCTCCACTTGGTCACAACCAACTATGCATTGAGTGCCTTGGTACTTGATACTGTGTGTGGTGGACTGGGTCCTGGTGCCTTTGCCCCTGGTGAGAGTCTGCCTGGGATATCCTGGACGGTGACAGAAAGAATTGGACATGTTTAGCCTTGAGAAAAGAAAACGGAAGGGAGATATGATAGCGCTCTCAAATACTTGAACAGCTGCCATGCAGGAGAGGGGAAGGGATCTGTTCTCGATCATCCCACAGTGTAAGGTAAAGGTAAAGGTTCCCCTTGACAATTTTTGTCCAGTCGTGTTCGACTCTAGGGGGCGGTGCTCATCCCCGTTTCCAAGCCATACAGCCAGTGTTTTGTCCGAAGACAATCTTCCGTGGTCACACGGCCAGTGCGACTTAGACACGGAACGCTGTTACCTTCCCATTGAGGTGGTCCCTATTTATCTACTTGCATTTGCATGCTTTCACACTGCTAGGCTGGCAGGAGCTGGGACAAAGTGACGGGAGCTCACTCCATCGCGTGGATTCGGTCTTACGACTGCTGGTCTTCTGACCCTGCAGCACAGGCTTCTGCGGGTTAGCCTGCAGCGCCACCACGTCCCTTATCCCACAGTGTAGAAAATATAATAATGGGCTCAATTTACAGCAAGCCAGATTATGGTAGAATGTAAGGAATAACTTCCTAACTGTTAGAGCAGTATGACTATGGAACCTATTGTCTTGGGAAGTAGTGAGTCCTCCAACACTGGTGCCATTCAAGAAAAAAAATTAGAAACCATTTTGTCAGATATACTTTGGATTCTTGCACTGAGCAGGGAGGCGGACTCAATGGCCTTATAGAACCCTTCTAACTCAGTATTCTATGATTCTACTCTTCTGTGTTTTAAGGCTAAAATTCTACTGATGTTTGTGCAAGGTTTGTAGAGCTTGCCACAGCTGACAATGTGCTGTGGTGCATATTTTGGTTATGTCACTGGGCGAACCATCAGGCATATGTCCAAGGGGCACCCCAGCACTTCATCAATTTGCCAGAACAAGTTACAAAAAAATTAAATCAACAATGATTCTTGCCTAAATATTTTTCATTGTTTTTAGTTAGTGATCTTTTAACATAAGTATTATATTTTAATAGAACAACTTTTTGTGGGCTGAGTTATAGTTTTTAGCTGTGTGCTTAGTTCACAGTAATTTTGTAAGCTACCTTGTGTCTCTATATTAAGAGAAAAGTAGTGTTTGAATGAAATATTTTTTTCTTTCTTCACACTCATGTAAAAATGATTGTTAATGCTAACAATTGTAACTCACAAAGGTAGCTATAAACATGCACTCACTGTTTCTTAAAAATAAATTAAACTCACACAAACTGAGTTGCTTACAGTCAAAACTAGGCATTTATGTAAGCATTCTATGTTATGAAACTAGTTCGAGCAGTTCCTCCAACCCTAATCAACGATGGTCCTTAGTTGAAGTCCTGGCCTTTCATTTTCTGTTTCTCAGTTGACTAAGCTTACATGATATAAAAAGTACAATCAGAGTGAAACTGCTCTTGTGGATGGAAAGGGGCCGAGCAAGGCAGACACATTAGTTAAAGTAAAAGGTAAAGGTTCCCCTTGACAATTTTTGTCCAGTCGTGTTCGACTCTAGGGGCGGTGCTCATCCCCGTTTCCAAGCCATAGAGCCAGCGTTTTGTCCGAAGACAATCTTCTGTGGTCACATGGCCAGTGCGACTTAGACACGGAACGCTGTTACCTTCCCACCAAGGTGGTCCCTATTTATCTACTCGCATTTGCACGCTTTCGAACCGCTGGGTTGGCGGGAACATTAGTTAAAGCAGAGATGCAATCTGCGAAAGGGAAAGAAAAGACCCCTATGCTTTGCTACAGGAAAATAAAAGTGGCTTTTCTGGGGCATACAACCCTTTGGGGGATATTTTGGGGGGGGGAATCCATTCTTAGGGCAGAAAAGGAAATGGTTTATCATATTATCTTTTAAAAGTACAGTGGTGCCTCAACTTACGAATGTCCCAACATACGACCATTTCGAGTTACAATCAGCTCCAAAATTTTGCTTTGCCTTGCGGTCAGAGCTTCCAGTTACAAACAGAAAAAGGCAGGAAATTCAAATTGCTAACTGTTGGTAGGCGGAAAGACTGCTTCTTTGTAGCTCTTTCACCCCAACAATTAGAGTGAGTGGGATCGGAGGAGGCTTCGGACTGCCTGGTAAGATAAGGTGCTGCTTTCTGCTTTTTGAAAACTTGATTTTTTGTGTGTGTGATTTTTTTCTTCGGCTGGAATGGATTAATTACATTTCAACGCATTTCAATGTGAAATGGTGCTTCCACTTACAACCATTTTGAGTTACAACCGGAGTTCTAGGACCGATTAAGTTCATATGTCGAGGCACCACTGTACAAACATCATACCATTCTTGATACTGTAGGTTACTCTACTTACTTTTAAACTAACATGTTCTAGTGGCCAGATTTGTATGACTCAAGAAACACACCTGAGGAAATATTATGGAAATAATCAATTTAAATCAGTTTTCTCTGATAAATCATGATCTAAATTGCTGATTTAAATTGCGCTTACTTACATCAATCCACCTAAGAGATCTGTGCAGCAGTGGGCAGACAATGTTGTAGTCATGTGATTACTTCACCTAAAGCACGGCTCATGAAACAATTTACAACCCACACCATCACAAAGTTGCCCTGCAGTAGCATAAGCTGGCTCTGTACCTCAGTAAAGTGGTCCTATGATAATATCAAACCTGTAGGACACAAATCTTGCTATCTTTATTATGTGAAGAAGTAGAAGTCCTCAAAAGTGGTGCCATTAAAAGCTGCTAAAATCCTAATCTGCTGGTTAGTTTTATCATTAATGATCACAGTTTGCAATGGCTCTAATAGCAAAGTCTAGTGCCTACAAACTTCTTGCTTTTTTACAAAAAAAATTAAAAGGAAAACTAGTCTCTAAGGACTGGTTTCATAAACTCACTTCTCTCAATAATATGCTTACCTAAGTATAACTTACTACAACTGAGACTATCCACACATTTCTCACAAAAAGCTCTCTCGGGACAGCCAGTGTGTAATAAGAAGCTTCAAATAACCAATCATAAATAATTACAATTAAAAATCATTACAGTCATGTCAATTTCCCTCAACTGGGAACATCTACTGTAATATTAATAGACAAAACACAGAGAAAGAGCTCAGAAAACGTATGCACTTACAAATAATTAATTGAGCAGTATGTGCTTTTGCAAAAACACCAGAGGCATATTAGGTGACAAACACAAATAAAAAAGAAACTCTCCCCGTCCACTGGGTCACAATCTAAACTTCTGTTCTGCAAACATGGCAATCCAAATGTCCCAAACAGGCTATTATTTTTACTATGTTATGCCCCATAACAACAGCATTTCAGTTTGAACACAAACTTGGCCATGAATGATGAACCCATAAATGAAGGAAAAGTCACCGCATTCCCAACAACTTTTCTACTTGGTGTCATCACCATCAACTTAAAGAGCCATTCACAAAAGCCTTCACAAACTACTACTTGGGAAATCTTTCCTCCTGCTGAAGGCTACTATCTCTCAAAGTAACAGTGAAATTAGCTTGATCCATAGCTATAAATCAAGGTTTCATCCCGAAGACTTGACAACATTCGTAAATGATACTGTGTACATTTTCTTGAACATTTACTGCCAGAAAGAACTTCATTAAAAAAAAAATTAGAGACGTATTATTGCATGCTGTGTAATCAACAGCAAACCCTTGGGATGCCTTACTGCTTTTCAGCTACTAATATCCGTTTGATTTTAGCAAAGCTTGTTTCCCCTACTAACACTCCACCCAGCTGATACCCACCTTTATTATTTAAAGTGTCATATTAAAAATTGTGACTGTAAGTTTTAATCCTGGTGTGATTCAAGCACAAGAAAAAAGAGACTTACTGCCATTGTCAGAATCCTCACTGCTGCTGGGAAGTCGACCTCGTTTCATGATCTTCCCGGGTAACAGCAGGCAGCCTGTGAAGGAATACAAGAGACGTTAACCCCCAACAACAGCAACAGTCCTCAGGTTCTAAATCAAAGAAAATTCAATAGCTGAGAACTAGAAATGAAAGCAAAAGACACGAAGCAGCATAAAGTGAAGCAATACATATCATGAAGATATTTAGTCAAAAATTTATCATGTGGGATGGCCAGAAAGGAGATCTGAGGATAACTGATGCTATCCTCAAGCCTTGTTCATCCAAAAACTCTTGCACCCAGATTTATGTATCTATTTGCTTTTAATATTATTAAATATTGTTAATATTGAAAAAAGCAAGTCCAACACAGCACATGCTTTGCACATATATAGGCTGTATCTACATAGCCTACAAACCACCTCAAAAGGTGTAACAACTGCCTTAGACATTAATTAGAACAATAATTTTGACTGATATCACATCTTTTTGTAGAACAACAATAGAAAAAGTTCCTGCATTACACACTCTATGACCTAGGACAAGAAACTATAGTGGAATTTCAGACTCAATCCTGACATTCACCACAACCTAACTTCTCACAGCCTACTGGATGGCAATATTCATGTGTAAGTCTGAGTTCTGGGAGACATACCGAAACAACAATGAGGCCACAGATACAAAGTGGTTTAGGTAAATCTTCAGTTCACTCAAATTGCCCACAGTCCTACCTCCAATATAGCTTCCACATAAGTTAATTCAATTTAGTTCTCCATGGCAAACGTCACTTCATGGCATAAAGAACATAAAAATTGACTTCACTGAAGTAAAATAAATACTAGATGATACTGCAGATTTTCTCATTTATAATGCTCCTGCTGTTAAGATCTCCAGATTCTTCAGTTTTTTCTAATTTGCAACTTAACACGTTAAAAACAGAAAGCAGTCAAGTGGCAGAGTGCTATTTCCTATATCTATTCTAATAGCTGCTAAGAAATCCAGGTACCAGTCTCTCACCAATATAGCTAACAACAATCTTATAATGTGTAACAACACAGTACAGTATAGGTTATTGTGATGGACAGCTCTCAGAACACTCCTGTCAGTCAAGTGAGGGAGCCTATGACATGACTGGACAGGAGGGGCGTAACCAGAAAAAAAGGAGACAAGAAAGACAGTTAAGGGCAGTTTAGGCAGTTAGGGCCGTGATGGTGTTAGAGAGAAGAGGAATAGATAAAAAGATAGGAATAGGACAAGTCTTGGAATGTTTGTGTGGATAAAAGCAATAATAATAAAAGAAACTGTTTAAATATAATAATATCATGATTAAAGAAAACCTAACTAAGCAAGCATATCTCAAATCAAAAGAACATATATTGAATGAATAAAATAAGACCATCTTTGATATCCATGTATGATTGAAATGTTATCCTATGAATAAACCTTGTTAATGTTGACAGCTGTGATTCATTATTGAAATTTGGTAGATTGAGGAAAATCCTCTGGTGGCAGCATATAAAAGGGGTGAAAACTGTCTGTAACACCCAAAGGCAAATCAGGGAATTAAGAAAAACAAACAGAGGAGCTGGAGTGTTGCTACAGTTGTGTATGAAAGATACAAAGATACAAAGCATAAAAATGCTAGTCTATAATAAGAACTTCTGTTTCCTAGCACTTGTCTGCACATCTGAAAGCACAATGCCCGTGGCTCTTTTCAACACAGTAGAACACTCCATCCATACACAGCCCTCTTTTCTAGACTGGCCAGAATTCTACAAAAGCTGCCAGAAGTCAAAACATGTCTCTTATATACACACTGTATGCTTATTTATTTGGTTACCAATGAATTTGACAAAGGTAATAAAGCAACTTCTTGGTAATTGCTGAAAACAGCTTAGCAGCCTGGTAGTATAAATTACAGCTCTGAACAAATGGCCTTATGAAATTCACCATGCTGTTTGTGGGAAGAGAAATGGGATGGAGTGGGAGAGAACATTTATCCGAATTTCTCCAGGGGAAGGAGAAATTCTCCAACAATTTCTCAGAGGTGTTTATAAAACAACTTTGTCTTTCTTCACTAAAGCATTTTTTTTTTTTTTGCATTATCAATACAAGCAACAGCAGCAACTACTGTGTTGGCAGGGTGGCCACCATTTTTCTCCTTTTTCTTTTCATTCTGTTTCCTCATTCAATACAAGAATGCACATCCCGTATTTTTCAGTGTATAAGACACTACTTTTTCCTAAAATCATTAAACTAAAAATCAAGGGTCATCTTATACATGGAAGTAAGCTGAGATAACAAAATGGCCCATACTTTGCCTCTGCAAACAGGCTTCCAGGAGGCTTAGCTGCCTCCAATCAGGAGGCTTATCTTCCTACACATCCACTGATGCTGAGCAAACCAATTGCAACAGTGCTCAGATGCAACAGGGACTCCTAATGTCCAAGGGTTTTGAGCCCACACGCTGAATAAAGTTAAAGTGTGGTGCATAATATGACAATACGTAATGGTATATAAATGTTACCTAATTACCCAATAAAAATGTGTTCTACGTTTAAAATATTGATTTCTTAATTTTAGAAAAAGGGGGGGGGAGTCATACATGGGGGCATCTTATACACAGAAAAATACTCTGAGTCTGTGTGTGTGTGTGTATACACACCATATTTTTTCCATTTATGAGACGACCAATGTATAAGACAACCCCCCCTTATCTAACCCAAAATTAGAAAATTTGATCACAGCTTTCCCCGCCACTTCCTAAACCTGAAGCTAAGCAAAAGGAAGGGAAAAGCCGCAGTCAAAGGGCTGCACGGGCACTGAGCCTACAACCAGCGGTGGAGGCAGGAGGAGGAGGAGGAGGTGGAGACTGAGGCAAAAAAGCAGCGGGCTCAGCCACCTCTTGCTGCTGCCCATTGACTGCTGCTGCCACTGCCCAATCACAAGGAGACAATCACCTCCTGCTGCTGCCTTCCGTGTATAAAATGACTATCAATTTTTCCTCTAATTATTTTAAGGGGAAGTGTCATTTTATACATGGAAAAATATGGTACTGCATATGTATATATATTTCTATGGTTCCTTTTTATATAGTTTCCTTTAAAAATAAATCGTATTATTTTATAACATTTGCCATAGTTTCTTTACACCTGTATCTTCCAGCTACCATAAAAATCAATATATATGTTTATAAAGCCCTTCAAACTGTTTACTCAAACTGTTTATAAACTTTAAACTAAAAAACATTAGCCACATCTTATGTTTCAGGCCACCATTTTGTTTCCTACCCAAAGCCTTCCATCTGGGACATTATCCTAGACTTGATGCCTGGCAGCCACCAACAATGGAAGATAGAGCTTGGAAACAATTCTGCAAAATGGCCTTCTATTTCTAAGGGAGCAAAAAAAAAACATGTTTATTTAAAAAAAGGTTTTGAAGAAATCTTGGCTGGGCATTTGGCTCAGGTTAGGTTTCTGTGCCTTCTCATACTTCCCAAATATTACATTTTTGAAGGATCACTGTAGATTCATCTTGGCTCTAATACACATACTTACAATACAACTCCTTCCCTATAGGCCCTGTAACAGATATGATGGAGGGCAATGTTATGTTCAGTTTCAGGAAACAGGTCAAGCTAGTATTGTGCCATAATTTGTCCTCCAACTTCCAGACATTTTAGCTTCCCCTTACCTTCACAAGAAATGTAATCAAAGGTGCTGGATTTTTATTTCTTTTTTTATTTCTTATCATACATTTTTATTACTCTGTATCTTCCCTGAATGTCCACACTTTCTGATCTGAGAAAGTCCCAAGAAATGTACTGCCTTCTGACAGGAAAAATCAAATCTGCAGTTTAACTGAAATGTGGAAAATTGTTGTGGGAGTATCAGTTTCCACAGAGATTAATGTGCAGCAAAAGAGAAGATATACAGTGGTGCCTCAATTTACGGAATTAATCCGTATTGGAAGGGTGGCCGTAACTTGAACGTTTCATAAGTCGAAGCACCATTTCCCATAGGAATGCACTGAAAACCGATTAATCTGTTCTGGCCGAAGGAAAAAATAACAAAAAAGAAAAGAAAACAGAGCAAGTCGTGACAGCCGCCGCCGGAGGCCTCCCGGCTTCCCTGCCGCCATGACAGCCGCCATGGGAGGCCTCCCGAGGTTCCCCGCTGCTGCGACCGCGGCCGC